ATCAAGGTGTTGACAGAATCAGAAGCCTCTCTCCTTGGCTTATAGATGCTGTCTTCCTCTGATGTCTTCATGTGGTCATTCCTCTGTGTGGGTCTGTGTCCTAATCTCCTCTTATAGGGTCACTGGTTATATTGGATTAGAGCCCCACCCATATGACCTCATTTTGATGCAATGACCTCTTTAAAGACCCTGTCTCCAAATAAGGTCACATTCTGAGCTGCTGGGGTGTTGGAATGCAACACATTAATTTTGGAGGACACAACTCAGCCCTTAACAATTTCAGCTGTGACCAGGCTTTCTTGTGCTTCGTGGGCACAATCTCTAATCTTTACAACAATGCTGCAAAGCAGGTACTGTGATTCCCCATTATTCACATCAGGAAACTGAGGCTCCACGGGGTTAAGTGTCTCACCAACAGTTACTAAGTGATGGAGCTGGAATCAGAACATAGGCCTGTTTTGCATCCAAGCTGTGCTCTTTCCACTACAGTCTATTATAGGAAGAAGAGAATCACTGGACCCCTAATGTCATGACAATCATTTTCTTTCCAAGTCAGAGCAAAAAATAGCTCTGCCTTCTCTGTTGATGGTGATTGCTCAGGAGAGCAATGAACTCCCAGGGACCATGGCTGAGCCTTCGACACAGTGGTCGGACAAGCTGACCAAGGCAACGTCCACAAGGAATTCAAGGGACAGCTAAACATCGCCCTTCGGGCTGCTTTGTTCCCTTTAAACAGAGACAAGGGCCTCTGCTTATGCTCTCCTTTGCCTGGGATTCTCTTTTCTTGCCCCGTTTTACATTAAAACATTACCCATCCTTCAGGGTCTGGCTGGCGACCTCGGTCACTCCCAAACTCACCCGACTTCCCCCTGTCCAACTTCCTCCAGTCATCTCATCCCTTCACACTGCAGCTCACTTTGGAGACAGGCCAAGTTGGGGGCGATTCTCACTCGGTTACTTACTAGCTGGGCGGCCTGGGTCAGTACGGTAACCTCTCTGAGAGCCTTCACGTTCTCATCTATGAATTAGGATTAAAACACCTACTTCCCAGGTTTATTGTGAGAGGCAAATTAAGTGAATGAACATATTAATGGCACTGAGGGCTGTGCCTGGTACCTAGTAGGCATTTAGTAAATAGCATCTTTTAAACTTACATTTTTCCTTCCAGTCTCTGTTGCATGCCTTCCCGATGAGATTGAGAACTTCTTAGGAACAAGGACCATGACTCATGTCAATGCATGATTGCGTGGCACGAATTTAGGCCTACAGAAAGTTCTCAATGTTTGTTGGCTCGTAACTGTGCACCATGATTGATTCTATGTGAGGTATATAATACAACCTCAAATAACAGACTTGGCTGCTTAATTGCATCAAAAACTATTGGTTTTTGAGTCCATACTCCCATGAGTCCATTCTCCCATGAAACCATTCATTCATCCACCATTGATTGACTGCCTCCTAAATGCATCCCCCTTAAGATTCTGTTTCTTTGTAGTTTCTTTAGTAGACAGATGACTATAGGCTGGTGATGGAAAGTGACAGGAGTGTGGATAGAGCAATGGGATGCTGAAAATGTGGACCTGCAGACCTCAAACCTCCCTCTGCATCAGAAACAGCTGGGACAGATACAGACGCTCAGCTCCCTACCCTGCCAGAAATGCTAATTCAATTGGTCTGGCATGATATTAAAACAACAAATAAACAAATGAAAAGAGGAAAAAAGAAAGAGAAATTCCCCAGGTGCTTGTTCTGATGTGCAGCCAGGGATAAGAACCATTTAAGCAGATGATGCTCAAATACTCCAGGGTGGTGGTACCCAGGCAATGTTAAGGGGAGGGGCTGTGCTCAGGGACCAAGCCAGGAGCAGAGCCCTGGACTGGAGGAAGGACGAGGCACCTGGGCAGAGGCTGATCAAATGTGGGCTTGCTTTCACCTCTTGCCTTCCTTCTCCCCAGGGGGAGCCAAGGGGAGTATCAAGGCTGGGGTCCCCAGGGCAGAGGGGCCGAGAACACCAGAGAGCACAGGAGGGCAGAGCTCTGTAGAGCTTAGGAAATCATTCCCAGAACGAGTCTCACGATTGCCCTATTTATATGGAGCTTGGAATCATACATTGATGATGACATTGGGTCATCAGACCACACAGATGTGGCCATTTCAAGAACAGCCTTCTAAACTTGCAAGGTGTACAAGCCTCTTCACTCATGCTCCCACCCCCTCCATCAAATCGTGGCAGCTCAGGGCTGATGAAGGGTTTCCTGGAGACCAGTTGATCTGAAGCACTGGTTGTTTAGAAGATTTGGGAGAACTGTTCCCTGATGTGTTTCAGGTCAGTTTCACGATGAATGTTTCTGGTGCACATCCTTCCAAAAGAGAATGTTGTTAAAAGACTGCTCCAAGGAGCCCAGACCCTCCTCCTCCACGTGCAGTGATGCTGAGAATCCTGGCAACCTCTTCCTGGCATATGAGGCTTATGATGTCAGAGGGTGCTTGATTTCCCTCCCCCTCTCTTCTAACTTCACAGACAGGAAAACAGAGTCTGAGGAGCCAGGAAGTTGCTCATCACCCCAGGATTACTCCTGAGCATGAGGTCATATCTCCCAGCTTTTTCTAAGATACAGCAGGCTCGTATAGGTCGGTGAGTTTTAGTAGACAGTGTCCAGAATTTATAATTTAAAAGGAGAAAGAAATTGGAAATGACATCAGATATATTTCTTTCCCTTTCTGCCTCTGCTTGTCTCTGAGTTTCTTAGTTGTGCTCTGCCATTTACTCCAGGAATTTGGAATAAATATAAACTTCTCAGGGATTTACCATTAAAGGGGCCCTACTGAAGATATATTGCCTTGACGTGGGGTGCTACTCTGGGCTTTGCGTTGGATGGATTTGGATTCCCTTCCCTGTTAGCCAAGTTGAAACAGACTCTGCTAGCTTCCTTACTGATGATCTTCCTTCAAGTGGAGGACCTGCCCTTCACCCTTACCATATAACTGATGACTGTATGTAGCTGTTATCTTTCTTCTGTATCCAGAGAACATCCCCTCCCCACAGTGCAGTCCTTCTTATATCGGTATTTCTACTGAATTGTGATTTTGTGGCCACAAAGTAGGTCAACAGAGAAAAGGATGTCAATTCCATCAAGAGCTATGTCCAGGGAGACTGGGGGAAGATGGGGTCAGTGGACAGTATTGGCCAGTGGTATTATACGAAAGGACCAGACATGACCATTTAGGTTGTAACCATTTATTTGGTCATTATCATGACCAAGATAATCCTTGCTAACTCTGACAAAGGCCAACATTGGGACGAGAGAAAGATGTGGAGTCAGCTTGAATTCCTTTAATACCTGAGTCCCTCCATGGCTGTCACGTACTAAGGGAGGCTCATTAACTATTCAGTTACTAACTCTCATCTCCTTGATTAACTGCCTCAAAATGGAACCAGCCAGTCCAGTGCACTAAGTCAATGACTAGAAAGATTAAATTCCCTCCAAAATAGATTCATCCCCGAAACAGTTGTTATCCCCAGGCCAAATCAGCCTGCTCCACACTCACAAAAGCCTGCTCCCTTCAACAAGGAATGAGTGGTTATGCTTTCCCTGCAGTAGATGCATCTGGTCTTAAATATCTATTCCTGTAACCTAAATTGCAAAGCATTTCCCAAAAGCCGTTGAGTTGTAGAATTTTTAAAATGTATTTGATTGCCAGATCTGCAAATTGGGTCAGTTTTCCAGGGCCTTATTCTTCCTTCTTTTCCACTGGGGAAGAGGAAAAGGAGACAGCGACAGCTGGTGATTGAAACACAGTGCTCCCTGGCGTGTAAGTCTTGGCTGTCTCTCCGTGTGTTATCCTGGCCAGGTCCCCTGATGCCCCCGGCAACGCCTGGACCAAGGGCTGTCCTTGATGGCGGCCCTCTGGATTCCACTAAGGTCAGGGTGAAGCCATTGCAGCTGGCATCCCTGGAGCTCTGCATGGCTTTTAGTCACATCTGAGCCTCAGAGAAGTCTGTGAGAGAATTAGAGGAGGTCTAAGTATCCCCATTTCATAGATGAGCAAACTGGATGCAGAGAAGTGTCAAGGATGCAATTAGTTTGTAGTCATCCTGGATCCTAGCCCATATCTCCTCAGTCAAGTATTCTTTTCACAACAACACATGGACATAAAAATGTCAGTAAGGAAAGGAATCTACACAAAGTAGTTTGTCGTGGTCCTCAGACCCATGAGAGGTGGGATTATTCCACGTGATACTCTAACTTCCAAATGCAACAATGATTAATCTGGTCACTGAAAAAGTTTGTTTTCATTACTAGCATTGTAAAGAGATAGCTATAAAAAAATCAATATATTGAGATATATTATATGTCAATGTTCCATATTATACCCTCTAAAAATCTCTAAAATACAACTTGTATTTTTATGACTGAGTCCAGAATTTCTCATACTAATGGGTCATAGCCCATTAACATGGGTCATAAAGTCAATGTAATGGTTTACTGCCAGAATTAAAAGAAAGCAAATAGTGTAAGATAATAGAATAGAATTGAAAATATCAGACAGTGTCGCACATAGCAAAGGAAAGTACTGTTCTCTGAATCCTTTTGTTCATATGCTATGTACTGAGCCACAAGGTTAGTAGTACTTTGTACTAAGTAGTCTTTCCCTTTTTCTTGCTTTCCCTCTCTTTCCTCTTTCTCCTTTCTCTCTCCTTCCCTCTCTCCTTCTCTATGTCTCTAGGAAAGGTACCCAGACATCTGCCATCTTTGTGCTGTTTGCAGGTACCATCCCCAGCCCTCCCAACCCCCATCCTTCCTAACACCATCCTTCCCTCACCCAGCAGACACTGTTCTCTACATTTGATGTATTTATGCTTTTTCCTTTCTCCCCTTCACTGAAAAGGTCCTTTTGTAGTGCAAACTTTGAGACAGGGTTTGCTAGTTCTTTCTGTGTTTGATAAATGAATTACTGTACCTCTAAACTATCCTATTTCCATTTCAGGCAAGTCAGACATGAAATCCCCAAGGAGAACCGCTTTGTGCTTCATGATTATTGTGATTTTTTCTTCCCAAGCTACACTGAACTTGAATTTAGAGTCTATTGTTTATCCTTCGGTGAGTAAATCCGTGTCTGCTGTATTTTCCCTGTCACATTCTTCTGATTTCCTGGGAATGTCACAGACGGAAATTGCTTTAAACAAATGTTTAGGGTCTTTGAGAAAATGTCACAAATGGTGGGAGGGGGTGGTGAACATAAATGGATGTTAAGGTATCTACTGGGCTACAACTTGCCACACTCTGAAATCAGTGGTAGTGTCAAGGGAACATCCTCCTGGCTTCCCTCCTTAAAAATTTGCCACTTCTAGGCCTGAAGCCCCACCCTGTGAGACTGACAACAACACTTATAAAGCAGATTTTGAGGACCTACGTTCTCAAAGTATTCACTTGAACACCAGCATCAGGCTAGAACACATTTCAAAAGGTGTTAATTTGTGTCTGTGTTATAATCACAGACTGATACAGTTGAAAGGGCCATAGATATTATCCAAGCTTTTTACTAACAAATTAGCCAAGTCGTTTACCTTTGGGAAGTTAATGGGAGTTTAGCTTAACTCAAGAGGGTGATAAGTACCCCCTTGTTCCTTGTGGGAATCCTTGGGATCTTCTTTCCTTAGGCTACTCCGTGCACCAGAGACAGGGCGTGTTACTGGTTATGAAATCTCACGAGACTGATGTGATTCTCTCTGTGTCTGTTTTCTCATCTGTAAAATGATGAAAATAAGAGTATTTATTTACTGATCTCTATGAGAATTAAATTAGTTAATATTTATAAGATGCCTTAGAACTGTGCCTGATACATTTTTTTCACATCCTTATTGGAGTATAATTGCTTTACAATATTATATTAGTTTCTGCCATACAACAAAGTGAATCAGCTATACATGCACACATACCCCCATATCCCCTCCCTCTTGCATCTCCCTCCCACCCACCCTATACCACCCTTCTAGGTGGTCACAAAGCAACGAGCTGATCTCCCTGTGCTATGAGGCTGCTTCCCACTAGCTATCTATTTTACATTCATGCCACTCTCTCACTTCATCCCAGCTTATGCTTCCCCCTCCCCATGTCCTCAAGTCCATTCTCTATGTCTGCATCTTTATTCCTGTCCTGCCCCAATTTCTTCAGAACCATTTATTTTTAAATTCCATATATATGTTTTAGCATATGGTATTTGTTTTACTCTTTCTGACTTACTTCACTCTGTATGACAGACTCTAGGTCCATCCACCTTACTACAAATAACTCAATTTTGTTTCCTTTTATGGCTGAGTAATATTCCATTGTATATATGTGCCACATCTTCTTTATCCATTTATCTGTCAGTGCACACTTAGGTTGCTTCCATGTCCTGGCTATTGTAAATAGTGCTGCAATGAACATTGTGGTACATAACTCTTTTTGAATTATGGTTTTCTCAGGGTATATGCCAAGTAGTGGGGTTGCTGGGTCATATGGTAGTTCTATTTTTAGTTTTTTTAAGGAACCTCCATACTGTTCTCCATAGTGGCTATATCAATTTACATTCCCGTCAGCAGTGCAAGAGGGTTCTCTTTTCTCCACACTCTCTACAGCATTTATTGTTTGTAGATTTTTTTTTTTGTAGATTTTTTGATGATGGCCATTCTGACGAGTGTGAGGTGATACCTCATTGTCATTTTGATTTGCATTTCTCTAATGATTAGTGATGTTGAGCATCCTTTCGTGTGTTTGTTGGCAATCTGTATCTCTTCTTTGGAGAAATGTCTATTTAGGTCTTCTGCCCATTTTTGGATTGGGTTGTTTGTTTGTTTGATATTGAGCTGCATGAGCTGCTTGTATATTTTGGAGACTAACCCTTTGTCAGTTGCTTCATTTGCAAATGTTTTCTCCCATTCTGAGGGTTGTCTTTTTGTCTGGTTTATGGTTTCCTTTGCTGTGCAAAAGCTTTTAAGTTTCATTAAGTCCCATTTGTTTATTTTTGGTTTTATTTCCATTTCTCTAGGAGGTGGGTCAAAAAGGATCTTGCTGTGATTTATGTCATAGAGTGTTCTGCCTATGTTTTCCTCTAAGAGTCTTATAGTGTCTGACCTTACATTTAGGTCTTTAATCCATTTTGAGTTTATTTTTGTGCGTGGTGTTAGGAAGTGTTCTAATTTCATTCTTTTACATGTACCTGTCCAGTTTTCCCAGCACCACTTATTGAAGAGGCTGTCTTTTCTCCATTGTATATTCTTGTCTCCTTTATCAAAGATAAGGTGACCATATGTGCGTGGGTTTATCTCTGGGCCTTCTATCCTGTTCCATTGATCTATATTTCTGTTTTTGTGCCAGTACCATACTGTCGTGATTACTGTAGCTTTGTAGTATAGTCTGAACTCAGGAAGCCTGACTCCTCCAGCTCCGTTTTTCTTTCTCAAGATTGCTTTGGCTATTCAGGGTCTTTTGGGTTTCCATACACATTGTGAAATGTTTTGCTCTAGTTCTGTGAAAAATGCCATTGGTAGCTTGATAGGGATTGCATTGAATCTGTAGATTTCTTGGATAGTATAGTCATTTTCACAATGTTGATTCTTCCAATCCAAGAACATGGTATATCTCTCCATCTGTCTCTGTCATCTTTATTTATTTATTTATTTTTATAAATTTATTTATTTTGGGGTGTGTTGGGTCTTTGTTGCAGTGTGCGGGCTTCTCATTGCAGTGGCTTCTCTTGTTGCAGAGCATGGGCTCTAGGCATGTGGGCTTTAGTAGTTGTGGCTCGTGGGCTCTAGAGCACAGGCTCAGTAGTTGTGGTGCATGGGCTTAGTTGCTACATGGCATGTGGGATCTTCCCGGACCAGGGATTGAACCCATCTTCCCTGCATTGACAGGCAGATTCTTAACCACTGCCCCACCAGGGAAGCCCTCTATCATCTTTAATTTCTTTCATTAGAACTATAGTTTTCTGCATACAGGTCTTTTGTCTCCTTAGGTAAGTTTATTCCTAGGTATTTTGTTGTTGTTGTTGCAATATTAAATGGACATGTTTACTTAATTACTCTTTCAGATTTTTCATTATTAGTGTATAGGAATGCAAGAGATTTCTGTGCATTAATTTTGTATTCTGCTACTTTACCAGGTTCATTGATTAGCTCTAGTAGTTTTCTGGTGGCATCTTCAGGATTCTCTATGTATAGTATCATGTCATCTGCAAACAGTGACAGCTTTACTTCTTCTTTTCCGATTTGGATTCCTTTTATTTCCTTTTGTTCTCTGATTGCTGTGGCTAAAACTTCCAAAACTATCTTCAATAACAGTGGTGAGAGTGGGCAACCTTGTCTTGTCCCTGATCTTAGCGGAAATGATTTCAGTTTTTCACCATTGAAAATAATGTTGGCTGTGCATTTGTCATATATGGCCTTTATTATGTTAAGGTAAGTTCCCTCTATGCCTACTTTCTGGAGAGTTTTTTATCATAAATGGGTGTTGAATTTTGTCAAAAGCTTTTTCTGCATCTATTGAGATGATCATATGGTTTTTCTCCTTCAATTTGTTAATATGGTGTATCACATTGATTGATTTGCGTATATTGAAGAATCCCTGCATTCCTGGGATAAACCCGACTTGATCATGGTGTATGATCCTTTGTATGTGCTGTTGGATTCTGTTTGCCAGTATTTTGTTGAGGATTTTTGCATCTATGTTCATCAGTGCTATTGGCCTGTAGTTTTCTTTTTTTGTGGCATCTTTGTCTGGTTTTGATATCAGGGTGATGGTGGCCTCGTAGAATGAGTTTGGGTGTGTTCCTCCCTCTGCTATATTTTGGAAGAGTTTGAGAAGGATGGGTGTTAGCTCTTCTCTAAATGTTAGATAGAATTCCCCTGTGAAGCCATCTGGTCCTGGACTTTTGTTTGTTGGAAGATTTTTAATCACAGCCTCAATTTCATTCCTTGTGATTGGTCTGTTTATATTTTCTCTTTCTTCCTGGTTCAGTCTTGGAAGGTTGTGCTTTTCTAAGAATTTGTCCATTTCTTCCAGGTTGTCCATTTTTTTGGCGTATAGTTACTTGCAGTAATCTCTCATGATCCTTTGTATTTCTGCAGTATCAGTTGTTAGTTCTCCTTTTTCATTTCTAATTCTGTTGATTTGAGTCCTCCCTTTTTTTCTTGATGAGTATGGCTAATGGTTTATCAATTTTATCTTCTCAAAGAACCAGGTTTTAGTTTTATTGATCTCTGCTATTGTTTCCTTCATTTCTTTTTCATTTATTTCTGATCTGATCTTTATGATTTCTTTCCTTCTGCTAACTTTGGGGGGGGGGTTTGTTCTTTTTTCTCTGATTGCTTTAGTTGTAATGTTAGGTTGTTTATTTGAGATGTTTCTTGTTTCTTAAGGTAGGATTGTAATACTATAAACTTCCCTCTTAGAACTGCTTTTGATGCATCCCATAGGTTTTGGGTCATCGTGTTTTCATTGTCATTTGTTTCTAGGTACTTTTTGATTTCCTCTTTGATTTCTTCATTGATCTCTTGGTTATTTCATTATGTATTGTTTAGCCTCCATGGGTTTGTATTTTTTTTTTACAGTTTTTTTTCCTGTAATTAATATCTAGTCTCATAGCATTGTGGTCAGAAAAGATACTTGATATGATTTCAATTTTCTTAAATTTACCAATGCTTGATTTGTGACCCAAGGTATGATCTATCCTGGAGAATGTTCCATGAACATTTGAGAAGAAAGTGTATTCTGTTGTTTTTGGATGGAATGTCCTATAAATATCAATTAAGTCCATCTTGTTTAATGTGTCATTTAAAGCTTTAAAGTTTCCTTATTTATTTTTATTTTGGATGATCTGTCCATTGGTGAAAGTGGGGTGTTAAAGTCCCCTACTATTATTGTGTTTCTGTCCATTTCCCCTTTTATGGCTGTTAGCATGTGCCATATGTATTGAGGCGCTCCTATGTTGGGTGCATAAATATTTACAATTGTTATATCTTCTTCTTGGATCGATCCCTTGATCATTATGTAGTGTCCTTCTTGTCTTTCGTAATAGTCTTTATTTTAAAGTCTATTCTGTCTAATATGAGAATTGC